CGTGATGTCACTCCCCACCTGCAGCCCCCACCACTTCCCAATAACCTCCCCCCTTCCTCTCTCCCGGGTACCAGGAGCAAGGACCCCTCCCAATACATGGTGCTGCTGGGAGCCTACAAGCTGGAGAGCAACCAGGACCATAAGGTGCCCATGCACGTCACACGCATCATCGTCAACTCCCGCTATGCCGGTGAGGCCACGAGCGGTGACATCGCCCTGGTGGAGCTGCGGAAGGTGGTGCGGTACTCCGACTACATCCTGCCCATCTGCCTGCCCGCCGCCAGTGTCCAGTTCCCCCCCGGCATGATGTGCTGGGTCACCGGCTGGGGGAATATCCGGGAAGGAGGTAAGTCGGATTCTGGGCCTGGCCTGGAGGCCCCAAAATGGGGCATGGGTTTGTGTGTCCTGCCATCTCTGCCTGCCAGGCAGCCCTGCAGTCATGGAGGGCCCTCCATCCATCCATCCATCCATGTCCCTTTCATCCATCCGTCTCTCCATCCGTCCATCCATCCATCTCCATGAACCCCCTAAGCATCCATCCATGCATCCCTACATGCCCCTTCATCCATCCATCTCCACATCCTCTCTCCATCCATCCATCCTAATACATGCCTCCCATCCATCTATCCATCCATGCTTATAAACACCTCCCATCCACCCACCCACCTACACATCCCCCCGTCTTCCCACCTCTCTACCTCTGTGGTGGGTGTTCCCATCCATCCATCCATAGAGGTTATGTGAAGATCGGATGGACGGATGGATGGATCTCCACATGATCTCTATCCATCTGTCCATCCAACCCCATAGACCCCCTCCCATCCATCCACTCATGCACCCAGGTCCAAGGGTGTCCTGTGTATATCTGTTCATCCAGTTATCACTCCATTCCCATGTATCCATCCACTCACCCACCCACCCACCCATCCATCCTTGTACACACCTCCCATCCATCCATCCATCTACCCACCCACCCACCTACCTACCTCTGTGGTGGTTCTGTGCACATCCATCCATCTCTACAGAGCCTCCATCCATCCCTCCAGCCCCACGTGTCCATTCATCTATCTATCCATCTGCCAGTTCATCCATCCTTCCCCACATATCCCCCTCATTCATCCATCCATCTGCCCATCTCTATGAACTCCATCCATTCATCCATCCATCCATCTCTATGGGGGGGTCCTGTGTCCATCCACCTCCCTCCATGGGGTGTCCTATGTCTGTCCATGTGCCCATCTGTCCGTCCATCCATCCCCTACCTATCTATCTATCCATCCATCCATACCCACAACCCACCCCCACCCCTACCCCCGACCCCGGCTCCGTCTCCATAGATGTGTTATAGAGCCATAGAAAAGTCAGGATGGACAGGACCTCCAGAAGTAATCTAATCCACACACCTGCCTCAGGCAGGATTAGGTCTATAACAACAGAGGAGACTGGATGGTCACCTTGCTGGGGTCACCTGACCCCAGTTGTCTTTCCTGCTTGGTGCAGGGCTTGGACCGGATGATCTTTCGAGGTCCCTGCCAGCCTTACAATCTATGAATCATCCCATACGGCCATAATCTAAACTCTACCTTCAACCCTGACGCGATACAGACCTAACACCATAGCCTGCCCCTCACTCCCGACCTGTAGCCCCGCCCCCGGGAACCACAGCAGCCAATGTTTAGATTGGACATTAGGAAAAACTTCTTCCCAGTTCGAGTGGCCAAGGTCTGGAACGGGCTCCCAAGGGAGGTGGTGCTCTCCCCTACCCTGGGGGTCTTCAAGAGGAGGTTAGATAGGCATCTAGCTGGGGTCATCTAGACCCAGCCCTCTTTCCTGCCTGTGCAGGGGGTCGGACTCGATGATCTATTGAGGTCCCTTCCGACCCTAACATCTATGAATCTATGAATCTATGTCCCTCTTCTGCATCGTTTCATCTATCCCCTCTGAACTGTCCATCAAAATTCGGTCTCTCCGAGTCAAAGAGCCAAGATCCGAACCACCAAACCATCAACATTCAAACGGGTGATTCAGGCCTTTTAATCGAGACCCCAGCATCAAAATCCTACCCATGATTCATAGCAGCCCTGCTGCACGGTCAACGAAAGCCCAGCTACAAAGTCATGACACATTTCCAAGCACTCGCTTTGTAGCAGGTCACCTCGCTTTGTACCCGGACAGCCATTTTTGTGGCGCAAGAATTACTTTGCATCTACTGCACAACAAGCCAGCTAATTGGGTGATCCCACTTGGCCAGTCTACATTTCGTGAGCGCCTGCGCGGTGAACGGCATGATATATGTAACGTGCGGCACGCTCGGCATCCTGTTGTTCAAATTCAAAAGAAAAAATTCGGGCTCATTAACTGCAACCGGATTTGGCAACATTCACATCAGCCGTTCAGGCTTGTTAATCAAGACCCAATCATGCAATTCCAACCAAATTTCTGTCAACAATTCAGGCACGTTAATCAAACTCCAATCTCCACCATTCCAATGGGCAGCTCAGACATTTTAATCGCCACCTGATGATTGAAATTCAGCTAACAACTTGGATATACATATCCAGAATCCAGTGATTAAAATTCAGGAAAAAACTCAGGCTCGTTAATTGGAACCGGATTTGGCAACTTTCAAATCAACTGTTCAGACTCACTAATCAAGATCCAAACATCCAGAATTCAGCCAATGATTCAAGCACATGAATCAAATTCTGATCTCCGCCATTCCGATGGGCAGCTCAGACATTTTAATCACCACCCAACGATCAAAATTCAGATACATTTCCCTGAAATCCCATCGTTACAGTTCAAGAGAAAAATCCAGACTCGTTAATTGAAACCTGATTTGGCAACATTCAAATTAATGCTTCAGACTCGTTAATCAAGACCCATTCATCAAATATCAACCATTATTCCATCAACGATTCAGGAATGTTAACCGAGCACCGATCTCCACTGTTCCAATGGACATCTCAGACATTTTAATGGAGACCCAAACATCACATTTCAACCAGAATTTCATCAAGGATTCAGGCCCATATTCATTGCAACCCACCTAAATGGACAATTCAGACATTTTAATCACAAGCTGATCCTCTAAATTCGGCTCACAATTCGGATGTTTTTACCTGAAATCTGGTTGTGCCAGTTCGAGAGACCGCTCCGCCTCGGTGGCTGAAACCCAACCCGTCAGACACGTTAATCGAGTTCCAATCGGCACGGTTTCAATTGAAACCCAGTCGTTGGGAATCCCGCCGGCGATTCGGGCATAGTAATCATGTCCCAAGCCCGATTCAGCCATGCATTCAGAGGCACGAATTGAGCGCCAGTCCTTAGCGCTCAAGGGCTGAATCAGGTGGGCAAATCAAATCCCGGCTGTCACATGTCAATAAGCCATTCGGGGATGTTCGCAATGGTTGACCTCCAGGCCCATTAATCAAAGCCCAATTAATCAAGGCTTGATTGATCCAGACCTGGTTGTCTCAACCCAATGAAAACCAGGCCCTGAAAATACCCGCCCATGCCCGCAAAAATTGCTTTGACAAATTGAACCCATCTTGATGGATGGAAGCTCAGCCCCATTCAGCCACCAACACCCAACCCAATGAAAACTAGCCCCTGAAAACACCTGCCCCCCCAAAAACACAACCTAATGAAAAGCAGCCCCCCCGAAACACCCCCCCCGCAAAAAATGTCTTGATAAATTGAACCCATCTTGATGGATAGAAGCTCAGCCCCATCCAGCCACCAACATGGGGACCCAGGGGGTGTCACGGGTGCGCCAGCTCTTCCCTGGTTGGTGGAGGGAGGTGTGAGGGATGCAGGGATTTGGGCCAAGGCCCCTCACCTCTGTGTCTGGTCTTGGGTAGAGGACCTGCCAGCCCCCCAGACGCTCCAGGAGCTCCAGGTGCCCATCATGGACCAGAAGACCTGCCAGAACCTGTACAACAAGGACATGGGTAAGGCCCTGCCCCGCAAGGACATCCAAGACGACATGATGTGCGCCGGCTATGCTGAGGGCATGAAGGACACCTGCAAGGTGAGGCTGGGGGGACCCAGGAGTCCGGGCCCCCTGAGATCACCCTCCTGGGCCCATCTCCCCCTCCCTGTCCTGGCTCCAACCATTTCCCCAAGGCTCCAGTCCCTGGGCCCAAGTGTGGGTAAAGGGGTGGGACACTAGGACCATGGAGCAGATTGGGGGCAATGGAGGGATGTTGGGATACTCTGATCCCCACCCACACACACACAGGGGACCCAGGTGTCCAATCCCCACCTACTCCCTACACACACACACACAGAACCCAGGTGTCCAACTCCCCCCTCCCCTACACACACACACACACACTAAACCCAGGCATCTGTGCCTCATGCACACACACACACACTCACACACACACACACACACACACACAAATCCAGCTGACCAGCAGCCACACACTACACATCTCCTATGCTTCCTCTGTTTATTCATTCTCTATCCATCCATCCCTCCCTCCAATCATTCCTCCATCCCCCCATGTCCCATCCATCCATCCCCACTTCATCCATCTGTCCAGCTGTCCATTGAACCAGTATGTCCATCCATCCATTCAATGAACCAGAACCTCCCTCCATCTTCCTCTTCCTCCATCTCCTGCCCATGACCCTGGCTCTCCCACTCCCCCCAGGGTGACTCAGGTGGCCCCCTCGTCTGTAAGGTCTCCAGTGAGTGGCTCCTCGCCGGCATCGTCAGCTGGGGCGAGGGCTGTGCCGTACGCAACCGCCCGGGCGTCTACACCCGCCTGACGTTCTACCAGGACTGGATCCACCGCCACATCCCCAACATTGAGTTCGTGGAGGTCTCGGATACCAAGGGCGGTGCCAGGGACAAGGCAGGGGGCCCCATCTTGGCTCTCCTGCTGACCCTGGGGTTGGTCCTAGGCCAGATCTAGGCAGGGAGAGGGCACAGGGGTATGGGGTGGGGTCCCTTGCATTGCCTTCTGGTGCTGGAGGGGATGGTTTAGAGTGAGATGGGGGTGGGGCTTGGGCAGGGGGTGGGGCAACAGAGCCATCCATCCACATAGCCTCCATCCATCCATCCACATAATCCACATCCATACATCCATCTACCCACACATCTACCTACCTCTATGGGGGTCCTGTGTCCATCCAGCCAGTCACCCAACCACCCACCCTTCCATCTACCTCCTTTCATAGGGGTCCTTTGTCTGTCCATCCATCCACCCATCGACCAATCCATCCATTCATCCACCCACCCAATGAACCAGTCCATTCATCCCCCCCCCTCGAACGAGTCCATCCACCCAATGATCCAGTCCATCCACCCATACACCCATTCATCCATCCATCCATCCATCCAAACCAGCTTCAGCTAGAAGTCACTTCCTCTTGTGTCACGTCTATAATAACCTAACCGTGGGGCAGAGCTAAAGGGAACCATCACACGTGTCCGGTCCCTTTCATACCTACAGGTAGTCTCTGGGGATATGCTGCTATGTATCAAGGGAGGGGAGAGTAGGGTCTAGTGGGTAGAGCTGCCAGGACACCTGGGTTCTATCCCCAGCTCAGGGAGGGGAATGGGGCCTGCTAGGTTAGAGCACAAGTTCTGGGGGGCCAGGGTTGCCTGGGTTGTCTCCCAGCTCAGGGAAGGGAGTGGGCCCCAGATACCGGGGATCTGTCTATCTTATGCCAGGGAGTGGGGTCTAGTCATTAGAGCAAATCTGGGGAGGCGGGGACACGGACAGGGGTGGGGAACCCGGACACCTGGGTTCTTTCACCCCATCTCAGGGAGAAGAGCAGGGTCTGGTCCTCCGGGTAACAGCACATCTTTCAGCCTCTGCTGTGTGACTACAGGCGAGTTGTAGATCCCGGCCGCCCTCCCCCATGCCTCAGTTTACCCGTCTGTAAAACGGGCATGTGTTACACTGTCCTACCTCGTGTGAGGGCCAGGAGCCCTTTGGAAGCCCCTTTTGGTGGAGGAGGAGCGGGGCAGAGCAAGGGAGGGCAGCCGGGGGGCCCTATCCAACCCCCGCTTGCTCAGGGCATGAATCCTGTGTTCTTTCTTGTGTTAATTATTAAAACCAAATGAAAAAAGCCTGGATGTGGCCTTGTGAGGTGGTGTCCATCCCCGATTGAATGGGTGGCATTGGTAGGGTTCAGACTGAATGCCCATTGGCATGGGAGGAGTGACCGGGACCTGGGTGGGGCTAGCCAATCCCAGCTCCCCCAACTCAGCAGCCTTTCCAGCCCCAGGCCAGGGCGCTGTGAAGCCAACCTAGGAAACTACCACGGCAGATAGCTAATCCCCTGGAAAGACTCGCCCAACCAGTTGCACAAGACCACTAGGCTGCGGGGCGGGATCTGAAGCAGCTCAAGTAAGGGGTTGGCGAAGCGCTGAACACCCCCCTCCCCTCCTGGGAGAGAACCCAGGTGTCCAGACAGCGGGGCTATGGAGGCTGGGAGTGGGTCTCAGTTGGCCACTGCATGGGCTGGCTTCATCCCATTGGCTGGGATGGCCATGTTGGAACCAACCCAGACAAGGGGTTGGCCAACTCTTGGGCCCACCAACCCCCACTGCCCTCCCCTGCCTGGGGGAGAACCCAGGCATCCCAAGGGATCCCACTAGGATATGAGGGGCCCATAAAGGGTCTCCACTGGCCAATGAGTTGGGTGGTTTCATCCCATTGGCTGGGATTGGCCATGTCATGTACACGTTATGAGTCATCCTCATACACATTATGAAATGTGTCCAGGAAATCCCAGTGGGATATGAAGGTCAAGGAAAGCGTCTCCTGGCCACTGGATGGGTGGTTTGATCCCATTGGCTGAACCAGCCCAGACAAAGAGTTGGCCAAGCCTTGGACCTACCAGCCCTCACGTACCTGGGAGAGGACCCAGGTATCCAGAGGGATCTTACTGGGGTACGGGAGCTGGGAGAGAATCACAGTTTGCTTCTGGATTGGCTGGTTGAGAAAGTCACGTGACTGAGAATCAGCACTGGACCAGGAGATATGGGTGCTGGGGGCCAACTGATGCTTAATCCAGGGGGCAAGACCCTGTGGAGCTCACCTCAGGGTGTGGGCGGGACTTGTGGAACAGGCCTGATGGACAGGAATTGGAGGAACGCAGAGAAGGGTCTAGCCCTGGGAAGGGTCACGGCAGGAGAGGATTGGTCCTGAGGAAAGAGAGAAGGAGACTGGGTGCTACTGAGTCGAACACAAAGCACTGGAATGAACCCAGGCATCCAGGCACCTCCCATCACTCACCAGCTTCCATTCCTCTCCCAGAGAACCCAGGTGTCTGGGTTCCCAGCCTCTCCTGCTCTCACCCCTGGGTGACTCCTGGGCCCTTGATCCCACCCAGCCACTTCCGGGGCCTAGCCCGGTTGGCTTATCCTGGCCCTGCCCCCGCCCCCACGTTCTGTCTCTACCCACGACCTGCCTGGATGATGAAGGAATCAAAAGGGCCCTGCCCTGTCCCCGGCCTTCTCCTCCCATCAAGCCTCAGGTGACGCCTTCGAGCCAGAAGGGGTGGAGGGGTGGTGGAGGAAAGGGTGGAAGGGTGCATGAGAATGGAGGGAACTGACTGGGAGATGGGGGTGCTCAGGCGGGTGGAACGATGAGGAGATGGATGAAGGAAGGGAAGAGGGAAGGCATGGGGATGGATGGATGGATGCAGGGAGAGAGGGATATAGAGGGTTATTGGATGGATGGATGGATGGATGGATGGATGGATGGAGATAGAGGGTTATTGGATGGATGGATGGATGGATGGATGGATGGATATAGAGGGTTATCAGAGGATGGAGGGATGGATGGAGGCATATAGAGGGTTATCGGATGGATGGAAGGAAGGAGGGAGGGTTATCAGAGGACGGATGCAGGGCCCCTCATCTCCCCCCATCCAGGCACCACCCCATCCCCCTGCCCCCTCCACACAGCCCTCAACCCAACCCTACCCCTGCCCCTCTGCCCCAGGCTGTGCCCCTCCCTGCCCTGAGGCCCTGACAGGTAATTAGCTCTAATGAGGCACCCACCCGACCCTGGGGAGGTTTCAGCCCCCACCCAATGCCCCCAGCTCAGGGGAGGACTGTATTTGGTTCAGGTCACGTCCTGGGCAAAGCACCCAGGCATCCGACCTACTCTGATTCCCATCAGCCCCCACTCCCCTCCCCAGGGAACCCCAGGTGTCCAGGCTCCCACCTCCCTCCTCTCATCCCACCCCCCTCACCCAGAGGACCCAGGTGCCCCAAGGGCAAAGGTCATTTCCGAGGGAAAAAATCTCCCATAGCTCATTAAGGAGAAGGAATATTCTTGATTGCTGCGGTTAAGGCGGGGGGCCTGGCTGGGTGCCAGGACACCTGGGTCCAATTTGTGACTCACCCCATGTCCCTGGGCAGGTTCACTGGAGCGCTTGGGCCAGGTTGGGGGGAAGGGAGGGACGTGCAGCATCTGGCACTAATACCCCAGTACCTTATCCACCTTGGCATGAGGGTATTGCACAGAACCTGGCACTTACACCCAATGCCCAACCCCCAGAGAGGCCAGCAATGGGTTCAGCATTGGGGCATCAGCGGGTGCTACTACCCCCATGCCACAGGCTGTTGCTGGGGTATTAATTTGGTTACCCACCCTGGATACAACCCCTTGAGAGCTTAGTGGGGTACATTAGACCACCATCAGGTGGGGTCAGGGGTGGATTAGCCCTACCCCCACCACCACCATCTCCACACACGCTCTCAGGATACCATCAGTGATACTACCCCAGAAGATGGAGGATGCTTGGAGATATGGGGGGCACCAGGGCTGTGGTTGTACGAGGGGTGGGGAGAACATGGGGTGCTCTGTCGAAGTGAGGGGAGAGGGAGAGGCTGGGTGCCCGGACACCTGGGATCTCTGGGAGATCTGGACCGGAGGTAGGGGCGAGGGGTGGGTCGTTTCTGAGCTCAGGATGGGGTTGGGGCTAGCCCCTCCCCCCTTTCATCCAGCCCTCCAAACTACTGTGCATGGACCCCGTACCTCCTCCTGGGGCTCCCCCATCACCCCACCTCCAATCCTCACCCCACCTCCCCACTGGAGGGGGGCGGGACCTCTGTGCCCTCAGCTCTCTTTGGACGTCTCCCCCAATGCTGGCGCTGGTCCACACTGCCAATGGGCAGGACCCTAGCTGCAGTGACCAATGGCTGTGCCAATCCACCCCCCAGTGAGGCCGACACTGGAGGGGAAGGATCATCCAGAGGATCCACCCGAACCCCCGACTCTCTTCCCATTGGCCCATGGGGGTATGTGGGTCTCACCAAATCCAACCACCGATACGTCTCCCTGAGGCATCCTGGGTCCCGATGCCAGTGATGAACAAGGCTGTTGTTGGCTGACCTCTTTGGGCATCTCCACGGCATCAAGTTTCGAACGGGACCTATTGGCTCGTGGTGGCACAACCCAATGCTTCTTCCCGGGCCTTCAAAATCCCACCACTCTCTGGGGCATGCTGGGTCCTGATTCCACCTCCCCACCTAGGGGCAAGGCCATCATTGGCTGATCCCTTTGGGCGTCTCCATGGCGTCGAACCCGTCGGGCGACATTCTGAGCTAGGCGGGATATAACCAGGCCTGGGTGACGCCCGGCACAGCAGGGGTGCCCGGGGATCCCAGTCGGAGTAGAGACACAGGGCAGCATGGTGGGCAGCCCGGATGCCTGGGTCCTCCTTGTGGGGCTGCTACTCGGTAAGGAAGACCCCCTACCCCCTTATCCCCTCTCTACGGCCCTCCTTTCCTGCCAGCCTGGGTTCTCCAGGAGGGCAGTGAGGCCTGCTGGTAACAGCAGGAGGTCCTAGGAGCCTGAGCACCCAGGTGGAGAGTAAGGAAGCGGTCCCACCCAGGTGTGAATCCAGGCCGGGGGAGGGGCGAGGTGGCCTCCTTCCTTGCACAGGCAGCAAGTCGTTCAGTGGAGTCACACCACAGGGCCCAGGCCCCGGGGGCAGGGAGCAGATGGGCTCCTCCATCCCATCTCCCTGGGTGGACAGTGGGAGTGAGGCCCCCCTGCCAGGGCCTGAGATGTCCCATGGATGGAGGAATGGAGGGGGCGGTGGACCCGGGGGTCTATGGGGGTCAATGCCTGGATGGATGGAAGGATGGACAGACGAATGGATGGGCCAGGGGGTCTATGGGGGGGTCAATGCCTGCATGGGTGGGGAGGTGGATGGAGGAACGGATGGAGGGAGGGAGGGATGGGTGTCTATGGGGATGGATGGACAGAGAGATGGAAAGGTATGCGAGGTGCACCCCTTCCATCCAGTCTTCCGTCTCCTCCCCGCCACCCCCACACAACGAAGCCAGGCGCCCGGGCCGGCCGCCCTCCCCAGGCCAGGCTGGCAAGGCAGCAACGACCCTACGGGGAGCTGTGATTGGGCCCTGGGCGTGCGGGGGAGGGGCTGTGGTGTCCCGGTCACGAGGAGCTCGTTAGGAGGAGCGGCTCATTGGGATATGCATCTCTGATGAGGTCCTAACTGCCAGGGCAGGGTGGAGCTCTGGAGGGCCCAGCAACTAGGGGAGGGAGGGGAGGCCCCGGGGCGTGGCAGTGGGGGGAGCAAAGGGGGCCCAAACTGACCTCTCTCTTCCTCCCTCCCAGGGGCGGCTCGGTGCCAAGACAACCCAGGTGAGGCCCAAGAGACCCCGGTGTCTGGGTTCCCAGGCGCCCCTGCTGTGGCCCCTCCCCCACAGCGCCCCCCAGGGGCCCCAGGTGTCCGGGAGCTTACCCTTCTCCATGACCCTCAACCCTAAGGGGCTGCTCGACTCCCCTCCTGCAGGACCCGTGTACAGCCTCCCGGGTCCCCTGCAGTCACCCCCAGACCCGCTCCTGTCCTGGAGAACCTGGGCATCCAGGTACCCAGCTGCCCCTCCCGCCCCCGCTCTGTCTCCCTAGGGTGTGGGTGGCCGACCGGCA